GTGGCACTACGCGTCAGGCATTGGGAAAGGCCTGCAGTTGCATCCTGAGGCACAGGGATGCATGGAAACAGGGACATGTTTTTTGCTCTGCTCGGACTGCCAGGGCCACACTGAGGGAAGGTTTCTCCTTCCAAAGCCTTTAGTCCCACTTCAGTACATCCCTGAGCTCACAGCAAAACTGGCTGCCCAAACGAACAGGACTATTCTTCTCCAAAAATAGAGTTGGTGAGGGCTGAGGGAACCCAGTGCTATCACACTGCAGGTTCCTCCTCCAGGCAGCTCTATCTCCTGGGCCCTCCCCTTGGCTCCTGATGGACTGCATCTCCTGTCACCCCACAGTCTCCTCCTCCACCATTGGCCACCAAGAGCTGAGTCTATTGGCATTGCTTGCATCAGCCAGTCTAAGGCTGATCTGGCCAGGGATGTTACTGAGGAGCTGGCAACAAAGAAAACTTTGTACCACTACCCAAAGATTACCCATATGCTTCAAGAGCAAAATCCCTTTGGCTTAGTAATTCTTTTACAAAGGAAGAAGATGCAAACAGTCTTTACAAAGTAAGGAAGATGTAGACAAGTGTCTTGTGAGCTTCTTCAGCAGATAGCACCCTGTGTTCACCCTCCTATCACCCACCAAAACAAGGAGCATGTAATATGTCCCCAAAGTCTAGAGTGCCCCACAACTTTCTGAAAGCCCTCATGCTCTGCATGCCCAACAAACTTCTGCAAGCACTGGCCACAGTGGGACTGCAGCTTGCAGAAGAGGGCTCGGATCTTAAGGAGAACTTGGACAGTGTGAAAATCTGGGGAGACAAAAGACCAGGCTTGGATGTAAAATAATCCAAGGAAGAGAGAAAGTTTGTAACCAGCTCAGGGATGGAAGGCTGTGGGAGGACAGAAGGTATGCTCCAAGGGATGTCATGGTGCAAGGTCTGCACAGGCACAGCAATTACTGTATGCAATGAGCTCTTGGAGCAGCAGCAGGAAAGGGATTCAAACATAACTCAGGTGGTCTCTTACTTAAAGGAAGGGAATGGTGCAGAGGACAAACACCAGCCAGGTAAGTGGAGAAAAGGGCCACCACCTCCTCTCCTGAAACACTGCTCTGGCCCTCATGTACCTGGGGCTTCTGCCAAGAGTAACCAGCAACATCTCCCAGGGGAAGGGATTTGCTCCAAATGCCCAGCTCAGATGAATAGAAATGGGGGAGCTCCTTGACACACTGGCTAATAAAATATAGCAGCAGCCCAAGTACTCAGCTTGAAAACATGTTCTAAAACACCATGCCCACCACACATCCCTTGCCCTCCAGTGACATCTGTCTGTACTCAGCACAGCCACAGCAGGCAGCCCTGATGGTGTGCACTACGAGGCCCAGAGACAAGCACAGGGACTGCAGCAAGCTGGTGAGCTGTGCACTGCAAAAATTCCCTTTGGCATCTCCTCCAAACACACAGCAGGGTAGTGATGGGAAGGATGGCTCTTGGGCTCATCGGATGCTTGTCCCAGAGAGCATATGTGCTGTCCTTGCAAATGGCATAGCATGCTGCAAAGGACCCTCTATCAGTCCTGAAGGAGGAACCCAATCTAGCATTAAATCCAGCTGGCTTGAGTGCCAAAAGCAACAAAGCTCTGGTCCCACAGACTTCAATATGAGTCATTTACACCCAGCATGGAGCCTGGACCATGTCCTTGTGGTGACTAACTATTGCCATTGCTAGCTCTGAGGTGTCTCTGTATGCTCTATACTTGCCCAGCTGCTGCCCTTTCCTAGAGAGAGGTAATCCCTTGGGCTCTGCCACCAATGCTGTCCTGCACACTTTCTGTCCTGTGCTGCCTTCCCCTGCCTTGACTGGCAGGCAACATGGCTGGTGCTGTGGTTTCCTCAGTTCTCCCTTCCCTGGTGCTGCAGCCAGTCATAGAAGCATGGGACCATAGTCTGTGGCAACAATGATGACAGCAGAAATCCTCATAACGCAGTACATACAAGCACTGATGCTGGTCCTCAGTTCCAGGCCTACAACACCTCTCCTTTCTATCTCCCCAGCGCTTTGTTTTCACTGCCAGGACAGACTGTGACAAGGTTTGGTTATTTAAAGAGACTTACTCCCAATCAGTACAAGGCTTCTTTGGCCATCCCAGTCCCACTGGCTGATGGGCATCTCACACAATTAAAACACAGTGTATTTGTGGCCAGAGCCAAGTCCTGAGCAGGAAGAGCAAAGGGCTCTTCTCCAGGGTCTTTCTGGTGGTTTCACCTCCTTGGTTGCTAGGAAATAATAACCCATTGAAAAAGCAAAAGAGTAAGTACTCCTGTGTTCCCTCTGTGAACAAACCAACCCCAAAGACCCTACCCAGACTAGAGTGCAAGACACCAGGGGACTCCCACAGGTCCACCCACTGGGAGAGAAGCGGCACAAGAGATCTGAGCCATGCCATGGCTCCCAAAAACCTTCTTCTTCCCCACCTGCTTCTCAATACCCCTACCACTACCCCAGCTCCCTTTTTCGCTCTCTCTGCCAGGTCAGCCCCCAACTGTGCTCACTGCAAGATTCAGTCACTTCCTGACATTCAGCATTGTGCAGGGTGACCAGGAGCAGATGTATATGAGCAATCAGAGAGTGGGAGATCTAATACCGCAACCAACATCACATGGACAGCATGTCAGGCAAGGGAAGGGAAAAAAAAAAAAAAAAAAAAAAAAAGAGAGAGAGAGAAAAGAGGAGAGAACGAGAGAAGGGGGGAAAAGAAAAAAAAAAAAAAAAAAAAAAAAAAAACTAAACCACAGGCGGCTCAATACTTTCCATGTGGTGCCGCTAAGGAGGAAATCGCCTCCATTTGCTACGTGCAGAGCCGGGTGTCCGCACAGCGGCCGGGAAGAGAAGGGAGGCTGTTTCCCAGGTGGGGAGGAGGGGCTGCCGGGGGAGCTGCAGCGGGAGGAAGGTGCCTCCCACGCCCGTGCGGGACGGGGATGGCGGGGCCGTGCCGGCGGTGGCTGTGCTGCGGGGCACCTCCGCAGGGGCACCGGGCCAGGCTCCGGGCCCCGCTGCCCTCCGCGGGGCGCGGCCGCGCCGCTCCAGCGCTGCTCCCCTCGGGAAGCTGCCCGGGGGTCCCGCGCCCGCTCCGCCCCAGCGCCAGGGGCTGCGGGACACCGGCTCCTTATCCAGCATCCCGTCCTGCTGCTGGAGCTGGGGGGCCAGCTCTGACCCCACCCCCCCCCCCCCGTGTGCATTTTGCCACGGCTCTAAACAGAGGCCAGGGGAGATGAGGACAATTTTCCCAACTCGGCTGCGTCCGGCTGAACAGTGTGGTGGGTTGGACGAAGGCTACAATGTCTCCCCCGCTCCCTTCTCGTGACTGCCGCTCTGGCCTCTGCACCCACCAGGGTGCTGCCAGCCTGCCACGGCAGCTGCCTCTGGCTGTGCCCTGTCCCCTCCCTGGGCCTCCTGCCCAGCGCAGCCGCCTCTGGGAGCTGCTGCCCCCATCCTTCATCCCAGCTCGCAGCCATTTCTGCTGGGGCAGGAGAGGGGGAAGGATGCTCCTGCCCGAGGTCCCTATCTGAGACACACACAGATTGCTGCTTGCAAGATGATGGCGGAGGATGCAGCACCCGAGGACAACTGAATTCCCCCTGGAATTTCGAGGGCTTATTCTGTGAGGTGCTGAGCACCTCGGAGGATGGGGGGACCTTTCTCTCCAGCCACTCCTTCCTCATTTCCACCATCACCACCAACACCACATCTACCCCTTCTTCAGCCACAGACTTGTTCCTGGGCTGGTGCCACAAGGTCCATGCTCCTCACCCTATCCCACAGCACAGTTTAGACATGATGCAGAAGCCACCCCTCCTTACCCACCCCCAGCACCAGGGTAGGGCACACTCCTTGTGCCAGCCTCACTGGGGCAGGAAGAGCCTTGGGCTGAGGGGTGGCACCACATTACCTCGTGCACTTGGATCAGGAGGCAAAGTCCCTGGTCAGAGGTCTATGAAATCACACCTGGGCTTTGCCAGCCGCGGTAAGTCCATGGTGTGCAAAATGAGCAAGGTCGGGTTGAGGGCAGGGGCTAAGCCTGGGGACCAGGGCACAAGAAGCACCCCCACCTCTGCCCTAGGCACCTCAGTGAAAAGCAAAGAGGTGTTTGCTGTGGCCTCACTGCTCTCATGTGTAAGCCGCTGTCCGCCACACCCCACAGAGCACATGGGCTTGACATCAGGAGACTCGTGTCCAAAGCATTTCTCCAGCTGTGAAAAGGGACCACCAGAAAGGCTGGGAAAATACCTTCTGCTGCCTGCAGTGAACACCTCAGCTGTGAACTGTAAAGTCAGCCTGGTTCCGCTCCAGGCTGCCTAAACACCAGCCCACAGCCCCTGAGTGACTTCCCTGTCATATCTGCAGGATCACAGCAGCTGAGGAACTTACAACCCTCCTATCCCCTCTCTGGGAAGCCACTACTCTGTCCTAGTTTGACCCATGTCACAGGGGCCTTGCCTAATCTCATTTGCACAGGGGGGGAACCCATGTAATCCACAGATCCGCATTCATGCCAGGTAAAGCACAATCAACCTTTAGGCCATTGCCATTTCCTGGGAAAATACAGGATTAACAGGGCCAAGTAATGGGAAATCCAAATGGCCCATTTAAGAAACTGTCTGCTATAAAAAAAGGTCTGGAGGGGACGATATTATTTTGATGGCTGCGGAGTCTTTTTCAAGTTCATCAACCATAAAACATAGGGAAGCAAGACAGTGTGTAACACAACCCATACCATTTTGGCTGATCCATCACTTGTCCCACAGTCCTTCTCGTCCTCAGAAGACCCCATGTGATCAGTGCCAAGACCCATCGCAGATTTTTGTGGGGTGCACTGGAATACAGATCATTTGGCACCTCCTGACCCACAAGACCTGGCAATTACAGTGTCCGTAGGACACCACAGGAATCAGGATCCTAGGCAGTACACCCCGAGACCCTCCCCAACCTTTTGCAAAGAGCAGAACTTACCTCCAAACACCTCCTGACACGTGGGACTCCCCCCATTGGGATGTCTCATGGTTCCCCTGCAAATTGTCACAGCTGGAGACTTCCTGGGCACCTTCTGCAATGAAGAAGGCTGTCAGGTGGTGAGGCTGTGTGTCCTAGCTCTGCAGCTGCCAGCCAGCACCCGCTGCAGGGGCTGTCCAGCTCTGTATTCACCCCTGTGCTTTATCGATTGTTCGTGGGCAAGAGCTGGTGGTACCTTACTGAGGAAGGTCCAGTCCATCTGCCTGCAGGATGGGTGACCCCCTCACCACACGCAGAGCTTGAAAGCAGCCCCAGCGTAACTGGGTGCAAAGCCATGAGACAGTGGCTTGGTTTTTCCTGGAAATCAACATGGCATCCATAGGAGCTAGCAGTCCCCCAGCAAAGCACAGGGACTTCCAACAGGGACCCCAGTTCATCTTCCAGGAAGGTGTACGGAGGCAACATCTTCTGCTTGCTGATGGTGAAGGCATAGTGGGGATGATGCCACACCCACTATGCCGCACCCATGGGCAGAACACCCACTTCTAGGCATCTCCCTGTGTTGGTTCATTAATTTATTTTTCATTTTCTCTTCCCCCCCCCCGCCCTTCTTCCTCCTCCTTCTTTCCCCCTAATCCATGAACAAGACTCTCAGGGCTAGAAGAGAGGAGAAAACCAGCACAGCTGCAGATTGGATCAGCGGCGTGCTGGCAGGCAGGCACGCACAGCTGGGAGAGGGGAGCATGCTCTCACACACACAAAGCAGCACCAAATGGAGCATGTGGAAGAAGGCCAGGGGAGGCCAGTGACTCACATCCCTGGCCTCCATCAGCTTTGAGCCAAGGAACACCAGTAGGTGACCAAGGCTGGCAGGAGATACCACAATGCTGGAGCCGTGCTGAGCATCCACAAGCCACCCAAGCAAAGGATGGACAAACTCTGCTCCTCAAAGGCTGCTCATAATATCATGGTGGCAGCCAGATGCAAAGCACCACATTATCTTCTGTGGATCCAAGTCTAAATATTTATTTCCTTGTCCAAGCCCTGACATGTCCCTCCTTTCTTCTTTGTTTGTCAAAAGCATCCATATCACCAGTGGCAAGAAAGACTTAAATGGGAGAGAGATGCCACAGACTCAGCAGATGCGCAGAAAGAAAAGTGTGGTTTGCTTCTTGCGGAGCACCCAGGAGATGTGGAGGGCCCTTCCCATGGCAGAGGTGGAGAGTAAGGAGGATGTTGTGAAAATTGCAGCTGCACCATGAATTCCTGCTCTCCACCTCTTGGGTTATTTTCTCCCCTCCCCAAACACCCCAGTGACACAGCAGGGCCTGGGATGACTGCCAGATTCTCCTTGCTCAGAGGCTATTTAGTCTCCCAGAGAGGAAAAAGAATGTTCATGGGAAACTACAGAGCAAAAGCAGCACCTCTGAGGACACACAGCACCTTTGCAGAGATTCCCAGCTATGCCTGCACCCACTGCAGCACCATCACAGCAGGATCACCTTCTCGCCTTCCTTGTCTTCTGTGACAGCAGTGGCCTGTGCCAGGGCACAGCAGTGGTGCAGGAGAGAGAGGAGGGAACAGGGCTCTGATGTGGTGCAGCATCTGCACCCACCTTTCAGTGCACAGTGTTTCAGCAGCTAAACAAGGACTTAAGGTTTCTGCCATCCTCTGCAACACTTCCACTGCTGCAGTGCAGCCCTCTGCCGTTTGCTATGGCCCAGATGTACATCCCAGTGCTGGTCTCCTTGCAGTACAAGTTCCTCCCAGTCCTTGGCAGCATCACTTCTGTTGGGATGCTGACTCCCCAGCTTGACAGAACACAGACACACCACAGACCACCAGAAGAGAAGATGGTAAAGCACCATTTCATCACACTGCAGAAAAATGGGAGAGGATACTGTACAGCCCTGAGTGGTGGTACAGCCTCATTCAGCCTTGCTGCCCGTAGAGCCCCCATCTTCAACCATTTCCTCTTGCTCATCTGCACTTCCCAGCACACATTGTTGGTCTGTGATGCCTGGCTCCGCTCTTCACTCCCCTCTTCACCCTGGGGTAAGGATCACACAGCCTTCTGTTGATGCAGAATGTGTTGCAGGGATACACCACCACTCAGAGCTGCCATGAAGTGTAAACTTGAGGTAGCAGGAAAGCACTGGCATAAGCTGACCAACTCTACTGTGCCTAAGAATCATACTATCTCCACTGCAAGTGCCATCTCCAAACCAGGGCATACCACTCACAGCTTAAAGATGGGGCACTGTCATTCTGGCTTGGAGGAGAAAGAAAGTAAAGGCAAAAAAGGATGAAAGTTTAAGTTTCCTTCACCCCAACCAAATATTATCATCATTCCAGCAGATCTACAAAAGCAATGACACAAGGGACAGGCATTGCAGGTAAGTCTGCTCCTTCCCAGCGCTGTGGACCTGCAGTGACTCTTCCCCTGCCAATTGCTGTTATTCAGCTGGTTTTTAACTAGGCCATGCTAAAATGTTTGGGTTGAACTTCATCTTGCTGGTTAGCTGCCTAATGCTGAAGTATCTAAGCAAATAGAGTTATAAAATATATCATTTCAGCCAAAATGATTCATCTACTTCCAAGAACATTGTAAGGGGAAATGCTTTGGTTTCTCTTGCTTTTGTTACAGAGAAATCTGATGACCTTTTCTTTGAAGAGCTCTTCAAGCAGCATGTTTTTGGCATGCAGACTTGAAGTTTGGCAAAAGGAGAAGCAGGGAAGGCCTTTGGTTTAGTCCAGACGCACCCTTTGCTGCCGCCAAACTTAGCCAAGTCTTTGAAATGTTCTGTTTCACATGTGCTCCCTTAAGGCAATCTTACAGAGCTTACCGGCTGAATTCCCTGAAACTTTTCCCTTTCAGGATGTGCTCCAGCCAGGGGCTGAGCAGGATTTCCAGATAAGCAAAGCTGTGGATCACTGCAATCCAAATCACAAGTCTGGTTCATCCCTGAGACTAGGCAGCTCCTGCCACCTCACACCTGGCCCCATCCTGGCTCAGACAGAGTGAGCCATGCATGCACAGGCATTTGGGGAAAGGCACTGGCTGGACCAAGAGACAAATCCAGGTACTGCTATGAGGAGGAAGGATTTGGGATGGAAATTTGACTGAAGGGAAACTGGACTGAATCTAGGAAGGAAAAGGAAGGTGAACATCCATGAGGACTCAGCATGAAGAAATGCAGCCGAGAGCACAGGACAATGACGCCCCTGCAAGGCTGCAGCCCTGGAGAAAGCTGGGGTACCCCAAGAACCAGAAGAAACAAAGAGAGGGGCACGAGGAGGGGGACAGCCAGCTGCTGAATATTTCCAGCAATAAATGAGGCAAGCACTCATTTAAATGAAGAGGTGTTGGACGGCATTGCAGGCAGAGGTGACAGCCAAAAGGTATGCAGGGAGCATAGGAGCTGACTTTGGAGGTGTCAGGACAAGACCGCATCTGCAAAAAGTTTTCTTTAACAGGAGGTGTGGAGGGGTAGCTGCATGTCATGGAAATACACTGTGAGTGCTCATGCTGGTAGGGGGTGAATCAGTCCTGCACCATGATGCCCTGCTTGTGGAAACCAACAGAAACCTTTAAGAGTGAGCTGAGAGTCTTCTAGAGGTGTGCAGGCTCCCTTCCCAGAATACAGAGGGAATTCACCAGAAAGTAATAGACTGTAAATCAGGACACTGCTCCCAAACAGGGAGGGACACATCCTGCATGCTGTGGTGCAAATGAAACACTCCAATGTGTCTGAGGCTCAGAATAGCACTATTTGTTTGTTTATTTATTTTCATTGTGATGGCTCTGGTTTTGCTTGGAAGCAGCTGTACTAAAGTCTTCATAGCTCTGAGGTCTCCAACCTCAGCTGTAGCCCAAAGAAGGGCAGAAGGGTTGGAGACCATCCAAGAAAGCATTTAAAGCTTGTGAGCCTTGCTTTGCATTAGCATTAGGAGCCCCCTTCACACATACTTCATTAGCTGTAGGAACCACTGCAAACAGACTTTAGTCTTTCATGGAACCACTGTTCTCCATGGATGAGCAGTCAACACTACCAGTCTCTGTTTTTGCTTTGTTTTTCCCTTAAGGAGGAAAATTTTCCTACCACTTTCTTAAAAATAAAAAAATAAAAATACTGCAAAAACAACACAAAAAAACCAAAAAAAGCAGGCCCAGAATCAGGAAGCCCAGAAAAATCCAGTCACTTTTTCTTAGGAAGCACATCTCCTCTTCCTCATCTCATACCCAGGTAAGAGCAGAAAGTCTGTATTCAGGCTGTGTCAGCAGCATGGGGGTGGCTCATCCATCTTCCAGCCAAGGTGGCAACCAGTGACTCATCCACCACAGAAATCAGGGCACTTGAAGTAGAAAAATGGAGAAAGCAGTGGTCCATGTTATTCCAAGTGCATCACTTTGCCAGGAGATGGGGTCACAGGTTCTGGCAGGCCTGATGGGCAGAGCTGAACCTCAAGCTGTGGGGAAAATTGTGAGGGCCATTGGGAAAGGGAGCATAGGTGGGCAGCCCTCCCCTGAAAGGCTTTCTGTATGGAGTAGCTGGAGAGTATCTCTCAGAGCTTTCTCTTCGTATTAGACTATCTTGAGTCAGAAGGGACCCACAAGGATCATTGAGTCCAAATTATAACTAATTGTTGAGTATTCAATCTTTTATTTTGCTGTAATAGCAGGTTCTGTATTCTGCAGGGACCTTTTACTTTTTAACACAAACCTGAACTCCTAAAAGCTGGGCAGTCTGGCAAAATGCCCTCCCTCCCCCAGGCCTTCACTGTGAAGAACAAGGGCTGCCTCCTGGTCCCAAGTCCCGCCCTGCCAGACACTCCCCTGCCATGGAGACTCCCATTCAGCACTATGGCCATGCCACCACATCTTGTCAGCAGGGCATTGTGGCACACAGTGGGATCAGTGCTCCAGCTAGGGTGCTGAGCCTGCAAAAGGACAAAACAGTCATGAGCTACCTGGACTGTAGCAGCATCGATACCAGGTCTGTGTTTTAACCTCCCTAGAGGAAGGCTGGGCAGGCATCCCAACTGGGGTAGTCCTCAGGAACTGCACAACCCAAGTGGCTTTCACAGGAGCATTTGGCATCAGAAAAAGGACCAGATGAGATTTGGCTGCTGAAGTCCTTCTCTCAACTTCTTCTCCACAGGGTGGCTACTGCCAGCTGTTTCTCCATCTTTTCACCACAGCATTTTCATTTTTGGCCAAGTCGAAAGATGAGCCTTTCCAGCCTCAAATCTGGGAATCTGCAGAGGGGAGCTAGACTTTAGCAGAGATAATTTGCCTCACAAACTGATCA